GGGGGGGGGGGGGGGGGGGGGCTTATAAATGAAAGAGGTTAAGAATGGGTTATTCATTCAAGTAAGCTTCTGTGTCTCATTAGATAAAAAAAATTTAAAACTTCTGTACTATAAAATCTCTGTGTTTCGTTTACTTCAAATTGATCCAATAGAAATGAGCAAGTTGAACTGGGACGAAATTCAGGGTGAACGAGACTACAACCCTGGATGTATATTGAAATAGTGTGTCTGGAAAAGACTTGTTGATGATGCTACTTTATCTTTATTTGGCTATACCCCCAGTTACTGGTGACATTCCTGTGAATTAATTCTTGACAACATGATTTTGAGGGCAGTTACTAGATGTAAAATATCTCTTGTTTGAGTTTCTAAACATTGTTCTCTTATTTCAGACATAGAACCACCTAAAGTAAGCATTAACAATGAAGCAAAAGACAGTGGAAATGTACAAGAGAATATAACAGCTACACTTCAATGTATTTTTGACTCTAATCCTGCACCTACCATAAGGTGATTGGTTTACAGACATTTTAAAGAACAAAAAGAAATAAGCAAGAAATTTGATAAATGATTTTTAATTTAATTTTACTGTTACTTTAAATGGTTAATTAAAAATATTTGCCAAAAGAAAGATGGAATTAAAATTCCGTTCCTTTGTGAATTTGTATTACTGAATTGATAAAAACATACATTTAATCATTGCATAATGTACGCAAAAGAAAAACTCTCTTGATTAATGCAGATTAAAGTAACATAAAATATTTTAGTATGGATTGGTTATGTGGTTAATTAATACAGAGAAATATGTTACAAATTGCATGTTTGTAATGAGTTGTGGGAAATAGTGTTCCATAATATATCAATTAAGGAATTTAAATATTCCTTTTTTAAATATTATTGTTAAGAAGCAGCATGTAATTAACTGAATTGAGATGTATTAGAGTGTTAAAATCTGATTTATACAATGTCCAACAAGATTTGACTACATTTTAAGTAACATTCTATTTGTTGTTTAGCTGGAAGTCTCCCACAGGAGCCACTGTACTCCAAGAACTTGGCCCCAGTCCAAGGATTACTTTGCCAGAACGTCTGTACACAAGCAAGTACACCTTCGAACCTCACTGTCAAGACGGTGGAGTGTATTCTTGTCAAGCAAATGCTGATACAAACTCTGCAGAGGGCAGAATGAATATCGTTGTTATGTGTAAGTATAGTGTAGATATATTACTGATCAATTATATTTAATTATAAGAATGTTTAAATAATGAAATGCCATGTCACTTGATGCCTTCATAATTAAATCTCTTTCCTAATCGTTGTGCCACCTTTTTAGAAATGTAGGGACATTATATGTAAAGGGACATAAGACATGAAGGGAGATAAGACATGTAGGGACGTAATACATGAAGAGAGATAAGACATATGGGACATAAGACTTAAAACGGCATAAGACATGTTTGGAGATAAACACGAAGGGACATAGTAATATGAAGAGAGATAAGACATTAAGGGACATAAGACATGAAGGAAGATAAGACATGAAAGGACAATAGACATCATAAAGTGACGTAAGGAAGGGACGTATGAACACTCAAGAAATAATTTATCCCCCCCCCCCACATCACAACCACCACATATACCCTGGATAAGCTTCCTAATCCTAAATTAGTTCAAATACAAATATCAAGTTATGCAGCGCTCAGCAAATTTAAATTTAGTAAATGCTGTCATTTTCAAATGTTCCAAACTTTCAGTTGTTTTATAATGTCATCTGTAAGGAAATAATCTTTGATTGACATTTGCCTGTTTGGCTTTGTCTACCTTATCACTGTAATTTTAATCTATCATATCACTTTAAGGTTTAATCTACCATATCTCTGTAGTAGCTTCAATTCTAATATCATTATCATTGAATTTACCTCCATTTGTTTAAGGTAAACCAAGGAGTGCTGACAATGAGGGACTAAAGAAAGAATATGTCTGGGAAATTCCTCAAACGCTCAAATTTTCTTTTGTCATATTAGCCATGCCAGAACCAAATGTTAGCAGGATTATTTCCTCTGTTGGAGGGAGGTAAGTTGATTGAGGATATTTAAAGGCACCAATGGTGGCTAGGACATAGATTGAATCTGCAGAATGGAAAGAAAATAATTTTAGCTATTGACTTTGCTGAGAATTGACTTTATTATATTTGCAACACTATTTAAGTTTGTTCATAAATGGAAATATTTTCCAAGTAATTGAAACATTTGAACACTGTAATGCGTGCAATGTAAATCTAACATTGGCACATGAAAATTCTTATTAAAACAAAATTGTAATTAAAAAATATCACCTGAAACGATTAAATCTATTTAATTTTTAAAATATAAATTATTTTGATGATCTTTTTTTACAGAAATCGAAAAGAAGAATTATCAAAAGATGTGGCCATAACTAAAGAGAGCAAATACAGTGGGAAAGATTATCTAACAAAGTTTACATTTGAAAGCAAAAGATCATTGGACCAGAATGATATGGACAGAATCTTTATAATGACTTTTCAATCATCTGAGTTTACCACAGACCTAAAATTTACAATAAGACCAAGAGGTAAAGTTAATGTGCATTTAATCCACTTCTGAATATCATCTTGTTCAGAGCCCCCCTAATTCCCAAATGCTTGTTAATATATCATGCTCATCATTGCACCTTGTAACCTAACTCCGATACAACATGACTGCTTTAGTTTACTGCTATGCTCATGAGGATGTCACTATGGTTACCAAGTTACAAGAGTTAAAAATTCAAGATGGCTTTCCAAGTTCTTAAGCAGATTAAAAGCAAGCTTGGTTGATGGAACTATTGAACAGACTAAAGTAGGATCTGTTGAAATTGAGACAGGAAATGGTGTGGAACATCCTAAAGTTAAATATAAGGTACCGGATATGTACAAATTATTCCGTCGAGACAGAAAAGACAGAGGAGGAGGAGTACTTGTTGCTGTCCATCACAACCTGGACCATACCAACCTGGACTGCCCCGCTGTTCCAGAACTAGATGTTGACGACTGCGAGCTCCTGTGGGTAAAATTAAAACTAAAGGGTAGACGCACACTTTACGTTTGTGCCTATTACCGACCAAACACAGCAGATGAACCAAGCCTGAGGAGGTTCGAGGCATCACTTCACAGAGCAACACAGGCGAAGAACGCTTTTCTCCTGATAAGAGGGGGAGGGAGATTTTAACTTTCCTGGTTGGAACTGGCAGATTCCTACCTTGAAGCCCAAGTCCCCATACCCTGTTCTACACTCAGAATTCATGGAGATAATTAACAACCATGGTCTGGAACAGCTGGTTAAAGAACCAACGAGGGGGGAAAACACTCTTGACCTACTCCTCACCAATTGTCCACATCGTGTTCCAAAATTTGAGGTCATCCCCGGGATATTGGACCACTGCATTCCCTATTGTGAATTTCAGGTCAACACACTAAAAAAAGAAACAAATCATTCGAGAAATCCCAATTTATGCCAAGGCTGACTGGGATGGCCCGAGGATTGCAACCAAAAGAGCTAAGCTCAAACATGCAAGGGATTCAGAGTACAGCGACAACAGAAGAGCTGTGGGTGAAGTTTAAGACAACAATCACTAATGTAGTGAAGAAATTCATACCACACAAGATCACCAAACCTAGGATAAATCAGCCATGGGTCACGGCTGAAATCCGTAGGCTTATCCACCGGAGAGACCGCCAATACAAACGTATGAAGAAAAATGGCTCGATTGAACTGAGAGAGGAGGTACTGAGGCTCCGCCGAACCATTCAACGTTTATTGCGTAGATCGTATTGGAACTACATGAACGGCATATTCTCAGAGGAAGACACCCCGACCAAAGATGTCAAGAACAAGCGCTTCTGGAGCTATGTGAAGCACCAAAAGTCCTCAAACGCTGGAGTTTCCCCCTTTAGGTGGGATGGCCAATTGACATCTGACCCAAAAGCACAGGCGGAGATACTCAATCAGCAGTTCCGGTCTATCTTTGGTGACGGTAGAGAGTACTCTGAGACTGATTTCCTTCTGAAGACCAAAATGATGAACAGAGCCTACCCTGTCATGGGAGACATCCAGATATCAGACCAATGTGTGTTTTCCGTCCTCAATACCATTAACCCTTACAAAGCATGTGGTTCTGACAACATCAAACCACGAGTGCTCAAAGAATTGGCCAAAGAAATCGCTCCTGCACTGACAATCCTCTTCCAATCGTCACTATGCACAGGAAATGTTCCAGCAGACTGGAGAACAACATATGTCACCCCAATTTACAAGAAAGGGGAACATTCCGACCCTGCCAACTATCGTCCGATATCCCTCACCAGCGTGGTCTGCAAACTGTTGGAGCACACAATCGTAAGCACAGTCATGAAGCATCTTGAAAGCCAAAATATACTCAATGACTGTCAACATGGCTTCCGAGTCAATAGATCATGTGAGACCCAGCTTCTTGAATTTGTAGAAGACATGATGACCAATCTGGAGAACCACAAGCAGACTGACGTGCTGGTAATGGACTTCGCAAAGGCATTTAACCATGTGAATCATAGTTTGCTCCTACACAAACTCCAGAGATATGGGATCCAAGGCACCACTAACACATGGATCTCTAGCTTCCTCAGTCACCGACGCTAAGCAGTAGTGGTTGGGCGGTACAAGTTCCTCCTTTGTTGATGTGAAGTTAGGATCAGTGCTGGGCCCCTGTTTGTTCCTTGCATACATTAATTACCTATCCGAGAAACTGACATCACAGGCAAGACTGTTCGCAGATGTGGACCAGGACGAGCTACAACAGGATCTCAATCTGTTAGCTGAGTGGGAAATGAGCTGGGACATGTAATTTCACCCTGCCAAGTGCCAGACACTATCAGTCTCTAGAAGTTGTACTCCTCTACACTACCAATACGAACTGCACGGCCATATACTTGAGCCAGTTTCCCCCGTAAAGTACCTGGGTGTTATCAATCAAAGAGAGGTCCGCTGGGACGAGCATATTAACAATGTATGTAAACAAGACCCTAGGGTTCTTAAGGCGAAATCTAAAGATTGGCAACTCCTGTGTGAAAGAAAGAGCATTTAAAGCATTTGTCCGTCCGATTTTAGATTATGCATCTTCAGTCTGGGACCCATTTACCCAGAAGAGCATTGACAGGTTGGAGGCGGTCCAGCGACGAGCAGCACGCTTTGTCCTAAACCGCTACAGGAATACCTCTAGTGTTGGCAGCATGCTGGAAACACTAGGCTGGTCACCATTGGAGAAACGACGACGACAATCCAGGCTCTCCATGATGTACAAGATAAATAATGGGCTGGTCCACTATTCCAGTATTAAACAGAAACTCATCCTTCTCCCACATAGACAGCGACGAGGCCATGACAGGCAACTCAGGCTCATACCAGCAAGACGCCAGTACAGGAGCTACTCATTCCTGCCCAAGACAATCAGGGACTGGAACAAGCTTTCAAAAGGAACAATCTTTCATTTGTGTCCATTGCGTCAAGCCTTCAAACTCCTAGTGCATGATTCCCTCACAAAGTGGCACTGGAAATCAGTGAAATTTCCTCATTAACACCATGAACAGAAACATTGCAAATCCCATCTACATGCATAGAAGCCAAAATGATCAATAAATTGATCATGGGCCCATAAGATATAGAAGAAAAAGAAGAGATAACATTGAATAAGACAACATAATTAGTACTTGTACATCTGATGATATCAACAAGTGACAAAGAACATGTGATGTCAGAGAACTTTTTGAGATTTAATGGAGGGGTGAAAGGAGCCTACAAAGTTAATGAACAGGTCAAGTTCACTCCTCTCCATAGTGGTGACCCCTATACCACTAGGGCCTTTTTCAAATACGCGACGGTTTCCTCTGTACAAGCCGCAACGTTATCTACGCCATTGTCTGCACCCGCTGTCAGATGACATACATAGGGGAGACTGGACGCCGTCTCTCGGACAGGTGTACCGAACACCTCCGAAACATTACACAAGATAAACAGTGTCCCGTCTCCAAACACTTCAAGAGTAGCGACCACCGGGGCAAGGCGGACTTTTCAATAAGTGCGATTGTGGCCAGCACTAACACCGCCAGCCGGGTCAATTTGGAACACAGACTTATCCTGACTTACGGCACTTTGACGCCAGATGGGATTAATGTTATGTCTCTGTTCACAGCTTGACCCTAGCTCCGCCCCTCCACGTTCTGACCTATCACAGTGAACTTTTTTCTCCCCCCTTTTTTCGCCGCTGCTTATTTAAACTCTCACTCATTTTCCTTCTGCCACACTTCTATTGCTGCCCACAGATACTACTTACCAGCTAAGTGCTATTTCTTATTTTTATAACGTTTTTTCTGTTGTTTTGTTCGCTGACGAAGGCTTTCTGCCGACACGTTCGCTGTTTTGTTGCGTTTAATTTTTCAGGTTTAACCATACTCTGTTTTACTCATTTTATTTTGTACTAACCTGATTGCAGTCTCTCCCCTTATTACACCTTATTATATCAAATATCACATCAATTCATCGTTAGTAAAAAAAACTTCAACTCTTTGGTCTATTAAGTCTTGTTTCCTTCCAGGTCCACCTCTTGCTGCCACCAACCTGACGTCATTAGAGCCCAGACATGACTCGGTCAAGTTGTTCTGGTTACCTGGATTTAATGGAGGAGAAGTGCAAACATTCTCTGTAGAGTTTCGCCCCTTTAGTCCAACAGTATGTCATTTATTTAATACTCTGTGTAGAGTTATATCCCTTTAGACCCAAAGTTCCGCACCCCTACTCAGGTAACAATTTCTTTTAAGAATTTAAAAATGATGGGCTTTTAATTTGTACATTTAGAGGGGACAAAAACAACAACACTAAAACCAAGAAAATAAATGTGTGACTTATCACATGAGGAAAATGTTAAAAATATAATATCATTTATAGCATAAATTTAATGTCTGTTTTTATGACCTCTTTTCCTTGTACATCCTGCATGGCCACCTAGCACTCCCTGGGTGTGCGAGCACCTCTTGTTTAGGAAAATCTACATTAGGATCTGGGTACAAAAATGTTTGCAAATTATATTAAAGGTATTTAACACAAATTTATGATTGAGCTATTTATCTTTTGACCCCCCCCCCCCTCTCACAACTGATCACAACATTTGATGAGTTTTATATTAACCATTTGATGTCATTAATCAACTAATCACAAACTTTCATGATTTTAATATTAACCCTTTGATGTATTTCAGACTGAGTCCTCGTGGAGGCTGGCGCTATCTGGAGTTGAAGACTTAAACTTAAATAACATGTGGACTGAAGCTGTCGTCACACAACTGAGAGCCAGCACAGATTATGAAATGAGGGTGGTTTCTGTCAATAGACTTGATGAAGTCAGGTCTGACATTATAAGGATACACACTGCAGATAGGAAATATCAGATTGGTGGGTACAAACTAAAGATAGGTAATGTTAGAATGTTAGAGTATGAACTACGTGGAGGTAAGATTAGATGAATGGAATAATTTCAACTACAGTTTAATTGTTTACACATTTCTTAAGGAAGTCTCTAAAAATATTTTCCCAAAGCATACTAAGGGTGTGTCATTTATAGAAACTATGTTCTCTTTTTAAACTAGGCAGTATGTTAAAATAATGAAATAATGAACTTCTCTCCAGCTACCCCGGAAGATGATCTGAGTGCAGGTGCCACAGCTGGGATCGTTATAGCTGTCCTTATCATCATCATTATTCTAGTGGTAGTCATTCTCTACATATTTGTGTTCAGAAAAAGATGGGGTAAGTCTGATCTCTTGGGGGATAACTAGTAAACACTAGTAAGTTTGATCTCTTGGGGGATAACTAGTAAACACTAGTAAGTTTGATCTCTTGGGGGATAACTAGTAAACACTAGTAAGTCTGATCTTTTGGGGGATAACTAGTAAACACTAGTAAGTTTGATCTCTTGGGGGATAACTAGTAAACACTAGTAAGTCTGATCTCTTGGGGGATAACTAGTAAACACTAGTAAGTTTGATCTCTTGGGGGATAACTAGTAAACACTTGTAAGTCTGATCTCTTGGGGGATAACTAGTAAACACTAGTAAGTTTGATCTCTTGGGGGATAACTAGTAAACACTAGTAAGTTTGATCTCTTGGGGGATAACTAGTAAACACTAGTAAGTCTGATCTCTTGGGGGATAACTAGTAAACATTAGTAAGTTTGATATGGAGACGAATGTAACATAGGATTTTATGTCAATAGATACACATTATTATTTTAAGATACTATTTATTCATTCCAAAAATAATGGATAGTAAATAGAATGCTGTCATTTATTGCAGTTATATAAGAATATTGATTTAAAACGCCATATCTTTGCAATGTAGTAAATAAAACTTTACACAGAGCTGCTAATTTAATACTTTATCGTTATTAAAGTTTAAACATATTTAGTGATTTCTTTAATTTCATGAATTGAAGCTGGTCAAAAGGAACAGCCGGCCACAAATGGAAATGAGCATATTTACACTGAAGCTGTTGAAAAAGATGAAAAAAGTAAGTTAATGGCGACATTGAAGTTATTGAAAAAAGATTCAAAAAGTAATTTTAATAGCGACATTGAAGTTATTGAAAAAGATGAAAAAAGTAAGTTGAATAGCGATATTGAAGTTATTGAAAAAGATGAAAAAAGTAATTTTAATAGCGACATTGAAGTTATTGAAAAAGATGAAAAAAGTAAGTTTAATGGCGACAAAATGACAACATCTAAAATTTAAAAAAAAAAAAATATTTCATTTAATCTGATTTGTTTCTGTCATATTATTTGTTGCTATTTTATTCTTTATCTAAGTTAGTACTAACTCTCTACACACAATTTTTTTACTGACTTTAATCATTAGATGTTCCCTTAATTTTTTAAAATTCTGCCTAGGCTGCTCATTGACAAGTGCATGTTGTACACGGAAAAAAGGTGAAATATTTACTAAAAATGTTAAAAGTTGAAATCCAAAAATAAAAAGGATCTTTTTGCATTCTGTATTATAGAAGTTATTTATTAAAGCATACTTTGGCACATTTTGTAGTTTTTTGTTTGACTTTGTCAAGGACATGTACCCACTTAGTTTTTTTTTTTCTTCTACTTATTGAATAGTTGGATATATACTGTAAAACTTAAATTACATTCAAGCAATTTTAGTTTTTGTTGTAATGGCATACGCTGAACCATTTGAATATTGTCTTTTAATTAACTCTAAACTATAATGTTTTTAATACACAAATAGTTTCAAAAAAAAATTCTTTTAGCGGAACAATACAGGGAAATAAATTTGGTAAATAACAAGAAATGGAGTGCAATAAAACTATTTTAAATTATATTGTGATCCATGTACATAGACGCATAAATTTTAAACCACTTTAAGCCATCAGCCATAATTTAGAATTTCATGAACAGAGTTATGGACCTGCTCCTGGCAACATTACACACTCACAGGCTCATACTACAAATTTTTATATCCTTATCTACTAAAACGTTTAAATTAATAACTGCTCTATAATTTCAAAGCCTTGTCTGATGACCACGAATACATTGAAATTATTGAAACTCCATTGAAATATTCCAAATGTAAGTATTACTTCCATTGCCGTTAGGATCTAAGATGGCAATCAATATAATTTGCTTGTTGTCATGAGGTTTACTGGAAAAGATGAGGTAGTTAGTGTACATATGGGTTACATATAGTGAAAAAGATTTGTTTAAATATATGCAGTTAAAAACCATACTATTAGAGCCTATCCTAAGAATATCTGAGAAAATTTATTATTTTTCAGCCCGTTATGACGAGAATCGCGACTACATAGACGTTGTGGAGCCTCCCAGTGAAACTTTTAAAAGTGAGTCAGGCCTACGTAGTTTAGTGACAGAAATGAACTGAGTCAGGCCTACGTAGTTTAGTGACAGAAATGAACTGAGTCAGGCCTACGTAGTTTAGTGACAGAAATGAACTGAGTCAGGCCTACATAGTTTAGTGACAGAAATGAACTGAGTCAGGCCTACGTAGCTTAGTGACAGAGATGAACTGAGTCAGGCCTACGTAGTTTAGTGACAGAAATGAACTGAGTCAGGCCAACTTAGCTTAGTGACAGAAATGAACTGAGTCAGGCCTACGTAGTTTAGTGACAGAAATGAACTGAGTCAGGCCTCCGTAGCTTAGTGACAGAAATGAACTGAGTCAGGCCTACGTAGTTTAGTGACAGAAATGAACTGAGTCAGGCCTACGTAGTTTAGTGACAGAAATTAAAATGATTATAAAAAAAAAATTGTTGTTAAATTTGTAGATTGCGGAGCAGTGGTTCTAAAATTTGGTGAGCACTGAACAATAGGCTGGAGTTTGAAACGTGTTCTAATTAGCTCTCATTCCACACTTGGAATTAGGGGATATTGGGAAATCTAGATAAGTAGATTTTTGACAATTTGAAAACAAACTTACAACAGGGTGTGTTGTAAAATAATGGTGTCCCATTTGTTAGATACTTTTTTATAAACGAGTTTTCTATGCATGAAATGGTTTTTTAAATTTGTTTTTTGTGTGTTTAAAGTGTATTTGTAAAATCTGATGATTTACAATTCAAAAGGTGCCAAAAATAATAAATAAAGGACTGCATTAAAGCCTGGTCAATTCAAGCTTCCACATCTACCTCGTTTTGCTATTTCATTAACCAAAAATTATGTTTTTTTGAAGAAATGTGATTGATATTAAAATCAACTATGTAAAACAGGTTTGAGTTGAGTTGGACAAATTCTCTTTCCTTAGATTTTAAGCACAAGTTCAAACTACCATTACTTCAGAGTAAAAGAAAGAAACCCAAGAAAACAGAAGGCAAGTAATTTTGCAAAAGAAGTCATTGATATTTATTTAATGTATAAAGAATTACCCACAACCCCATTTTCCCCCCAGCTTTGTTATTGAATTTACACACAATATGATAATAGGGAAATGTTTATAGATTCACAAATTGAATTAAAATTATAAATTATTCATCATTAAGTTAGGTATTTATTATATAGTGCATTGGTTTTCAAAACTTATGTTGATTCGAAAATAACATAAGAATTATAAATCTTACACACTTTAAGTAGTTGTTGTCGTATACTTGAAATAACTTGCCAAACAATGGTGGTGGCAGTGCATGAACGTCCCATCTACTCAAATTACTCCCAACAAATCATGCATTCAAGTAACGCACTTTAAAAGAATCCCATTTAATGCTAAGTTCAGGGAACTTCATCTCGCTTGCCTATTGAACGCAGAGCTACAGCCATGCATAGAGACCTACAGAATTGTTATTTGTAATTGGATTGGTTTAAAAATGTATAGCGGGAAATGAAAAAAAATATGTTTTTTTTAGATGGAGAATGGATGAGTGATCCAACCTTCAACACAGGTCAATGACCCGAATTCCACTAATGCCACCTGAATGTAATTGTTAATATTTTTATTCATTTTATACAGACCACAGCTATGTCAATAACGAGGTAATCAAGCGAATTTCACAAGAACATAAACGCAAGTTAAAGTCAAGCTCGTAGATGGAAGCAGTCGGAAAGTAAAAATAAAACTTTTCAAAGAGGATATCACCACAGAGCTGTGCTATTTCTACCAGGGACCCGCTGGCACATGGAAACCCGTGACGAACGGTGTCGTAAGAAAGGCCTGGAGGCCCGCCGCCCCCCCCCCCCCC